TAAACATTGATGTGGGGTAGCATCACTGTAGTATGCTAATTTTGAGTCCTTTGGGTATATATCTAGGAGTGGGATAACTGGGTCAAATGGTGGTTTCATTCCATGTTTTCTGAGAACTCTCCATACTGCTTTCCAGAATGGTTGCACCAGTTTGCAGTCCCACCAGCAATGTATAATTGTACCTTTTCCTCCACATCCACTCCAACATTTATTGTTGCTTGTATTCTTGATTATTGCCATTCTGACTAGAGTGAGATGAAATTTCGGTGTAATTTTAACTTACATTGCTCTAACTGCTAGAGTTGTTGAACATTTTCTCATATATTTGTTGACTGATCATATTTCTTCTTCTGTGAAGTTTCAGTTCAGTTCCTCTGCACATATGTTGATTGGGTTATTTAGGTGTTTTTTTGTTTTGTTTTGTTTGTGTGTGTGTTAAGTTTTTTTTTTTTTTAATTCTTTGTGTATCGTGGAGATTAATGCTCTAACTGAGGTGCAGGTGGTAAAAATTTACGCCCATTCTGTAGGTTCTCTTTTCATGATCTTGATTGTTTCCTTTGCTGTGAAGAAGCTTTTTAGTTTGATTCTTGATTTTACTTCTTGCACTTTAGGAGTCTTGTTAAGGAAGTAGGTTCCTAAGCCGACATGATGGAGATTTGGGCCTACTTTTTCTTCTATTAGGCACAGGGTCTCTGTCTAATGCCTAGGTCCTGATGCACTTTGAGTTCAGTTTTGGAGCACAAGTTTTATTGGTTTTTTTTTTTTTTTTTTTTAGTGGCTTTGGTAGACTTTTGTTTTTAATTTCTTTTGATGCAGTAACATTAGTTGTTAATCTGTATGGCTAGACTTTGGAAGATTCTAGCTGTGTAATTCATCATTCACATGGTCTTAGAAAAGTTGACTCACTTTTCTGATATTTTTCTTCATCTATATCATAGAATTAAGTTCTGTCACTAAGGCTATTGTGAGAATTAAATAGCAAAGGGAAGCAAGAAGTATTTGTTTTTGAAGCTATATCCCTTTTACCTTGTGCCTGTTGAAATTTGCAGTTCCTTTCACCTTTCTGTTTGTAAGCTTTTCTTTTTCTCTCAATTCTTCCTTGGCATTCTTGCCTCCCTTCCCTCCCCACTCTTTTTGGCATAAGTCACAGAAGATAAATAGGGTAAAGTTTCATACCATGCCTAGCTCCTCTCTTAACCAATCAAATGCTTAACACTCTCTCCTCCTTTTCATTGTCAGTCAACATGTATTTAGTAAATGCTGAGGGTGTGGAGTACTATAAGAGATAGCTGAAGGTTTAATTCCAATTTGCAGTATCCAAGCCTGTCCTTCCAGTTCACAAATGGAAACCCARTCCTACCTGGAACAAGAAGAACTTCTTTAGTGTTAATCCTGTGTTAATGAATTTGTTAAATTAGTCTTTGCTGACACAGATAAGAAGATACTTTCTTATGTATAAGAGATTTTATTGTCTAATCTATATATCACTCTTGTCAAGGGCATACCTGAGAAAGATGCTCTTTGAGTACAGCCAGGGGTATCAGGTTAGGCTGATGTTTGTCCTGAGTGTGTTTATTTAAGGAAGGACATGTGGCAAGAGCAAGGGTCATTTTTTAACTCATGTTTTAAAGGTACAGAGAAAATGTCTTTACTTTCTAGAATTCTTTCACTATTCATATTTGGAAAGTACTAATAAAATAGTTTATAGTTCTTCTTTTACTAGACTGTAATTTTAAATATTTATTAATATAACTACATGTCAAAAATTTTAAAAGACTTTTTAGGAATACATGAAAATAAGATGACCTTTGAATTACCTAAGGAGGCAAAAGAATGATGATCATGGATTGGACCATTAAAAATGAAGCTAGTGTTGAGACTGGGCATAATCTACAGATTTGCCTGTGACTTGGCTTTAAGCCTTCTAATGGTCTATCAAAAAAAGAAAATTTATTTTGCAACCTATTTCATAATAAAATAAAAAGAAAACTTTTGCTAAGAAGCAAAAACTGTTTCTTATTGCAAAAATCTGATAGGAATTTTTTTAAGCAGTCCTCATGAGAAGGACCCTGTGTGATCTAAGAACACTCTCAACCACAGCTTACAGGAAAAGCAAAGGTGACTTCCTTAGAGCTATTTGCTCTAACACCTGTCAGTATAGGCTTAAGTATCTCACCAGGCAGTTTATAAGAGGAATAATTCTGTGGAGCAGGTAAGGCCCAAATGCTTTGATTCATAGAACCTAGTTCTCTCCTGATTTGACTTGGTCCCAACACATATTTTATTTAGAAAATGTGGAAAATGGATTGTATGTCCTTTAGAAAGTTTGTTGTTTTGTTTTGAGATACTGGGGATTGAACTCAGGGTCTCATGCATGCTCAGCATGTGCTCTACCACTGAGCTAAAACCCAGCCCCTTAGTTAAATAACTGTTGTGCACAGCACAGCATACTATCCTAGTGACTGCAGAGACTGAGGCAGAAAAATCACGAGGGCTGGCCTCAGGAACCTAAGACCCAAACCCTCAGTGACTCAGCTGAGACCCTACTCAAAATTTTTTTAAAAAAAGAGATGGGGATATAGCTCAGGGGTAATGTGCTTCTGGGTTTATTCTGTAGTACCAAAATAAAAATAAAAACTATTGTCTTTTCTCTCAAATGAACTTCATCAAATATTTGGTAGAACTAATAGACGTGTTCCAGGAACACAGCTTTTCTTTTTATTCCAGACCTATACCAATACTTAGGCTTTGGTAGAATGCAGAGTTTGAGATTGAGATGACTTCTTTTGAATACTGAGGAGCCAGATAAGGATACTGGCCTCAAGGGACCATTTAGCCTATGGATGAGCTAAAGGTGTGCCTTAATTAAAAAAAARAAAAAAAAGAAAAAAAAATCAGCCTGGTAATGTAAATTGTTTTGGGTCTGAATATCCATGCAGATTGTAGCATAAAACTCCAAAATTCCATTATATCTTCTGGTCTTAATAAATTCAGCCTGGAAGATTTTTTTCAAATGTGTTTACCAGATACCCACCTGGTACCTGTAAATACCAGGTGGTAAAATTTTATCCAACTCTGAACCACATAACTTCCTGATTTGTCTTTGAAAGAAAACTACTTGCCAAATATATACTAAGAAAACCAAAGAAGGAACTTGTTGAATAGGACTCTTTTATAAACCAGTTAAAAATGGATGGGCAGGGGCTGGGGCTGTGCCTAAGTGGTGGAGTGCTTGCCTAGCATGCATGAGGAGCTGGGTTCCTTCCTATTCTCAGCACCACATAAAAAAATAAACAAATAAAATAAAAGTATTGTGTTCATCTACAAAGAATTGACCAATTGCATATTGTTATTGAATAGCAAGCCTTACGTCATTGTCAAAAACTTTAAAATGCTTCAGCTTTGTGATACTCATTGCTGTGACTCTTCCTATTTTAATCTACCTAGAAGTCTGGTGTCGGATGCTTACCAACAATTACCTTGTGCTCACTCCATGATGGTGTTGGATGGTAATGAGATTGAAGGCAGACTGTCAGTTGACTGAGTAATAAACTAGAAATTAGGAAGTTCAGCTTCTGGCCTTGACTCAGTCAGTGATTTTGATATTTGTCATATCTTTTGAACATTCTGTATCTCAGCCACTCCATCTGTTAAACTGAGTTTGTAATAACTGCCCTGGTCTATCTCACAGGAATGTTGCATGGACAAATTAGATAAGTGTAAAAGTGCCTTGGAGGTAAAGCCACTCTATGAATAAAGATTAGTATGATGTATCTACTGAAAAGTGTGTTGCAGAGGCTAGAATGGTTCATCTCTGCAGGCTTCATGACCAGATAAGGCTTCATAATGGATTCCTGTCAAACCAAGCTCATCTTATCAGTTCATGACTGTATAGTATTTAATGGGAAAAAAAATCTCTTTGCAAACATTTGTTACCGTGATACAAATGTGCATTAAAAATTTGTCATGTTTAGGGAGATGGGGAGGGGAGAGTGGCTAAATAATGGGTGTAAAATTTCAGCTATATAAGATGAATAAGATCTACACAGCTACTGTACAGCAATATGCCCATGGTTAGAAATATTGTGGTTAAAAATAGAGTGGTTCTTACGTTAAATGTTCTTAAGAATCACAATAAAATAAAAATATTTTAAAATCAGTCTTATTTTAATTAGATAAAATCTTTCTATCAGTATGGTGGCACACACCTGTAACCCAAACTACTCAGGAGGCTGAGGAAGGAATATCACAAGTTCCAGGCCAACTTGGACAATTTAGTGAGACCCTGTCTCAAAATAAAAAATAAAAAGGGCTAAGGATCTAGTTAACTGATAAAGCCCCCCTGGATTCCACCAAAATAAAACAAAAACAAAAACTTTCCAAGTGGCTTCAAACAATCCATAATATACAGTTCACATTTCTGTAGTAATTTTTTGGGGGGTAAGTATTTGATATGTTTAATAATGTTAATATATATGTATATGATACARTGTGTAAGCAAGAGAAGTTCCCTAGAGTATTTTCTTTGCTCGGGGAATAAATACTACTGTTTTTAAGACTCTGACATTACCAAATTGGATTTTTTTTCTTTTATTTTCTAGAAATGGCAAATTCTCATCTCTGCATAATGTAGATGAATAAGATCTACATTGTGTTGTTTTTCTGGTTGCTTCATAGTCTGTCCCAGTTAGCATTCTCATTCTCAATCCTAACTGTGATGTAGACAGATTTGATTCACTGCAGCTTATTAAAACATCCCTTGGAAAATCCCCTGCAGACAGTAAAAGGAGAGAAGGGTGGCTTTTCTTGAAGGAATCCTTAAGTGCTCTTACTCCTCTCCCTTTTTCTGTTTCCATAAATGCACAGATAGTTCCTATGTAAATTTACAGCACCCCTGTGTTTAGTCATTGAGAAGGAAAATAAGCAAATATTTGATTGGACATTTCATAACTTTAGAAACTTTAATCCTTGAGCCAAGTTGATCTCTTTTCTTCTGGCAGGGGACCATTCCTAGTAGCACTGGGGAAATCTTGGCACCCAGAAGAATTTAACTGTGCTCACTGCAAAAATACGATGGCCTACATTGGATTTGTAGAGGAGAAGGGAGCACTGTATTGTGAGCTCTGCTATGAGAAATTCTTTGCTCCGGAATGTGGTCGATGCCAAAGGAAGATCCTTGGAGTAAGTATTGGAAACTGCTCTTTTATTCTTAGTGAGTTTTAAAGCAAAAAACACAATAGCTGTTTGTTGTAAAACTCTTCCATCGTTTTTGCTTTTTTTTAATTTTCTTCTTGCTTTATCAACCCTCTTTGATTTCATCACTATTTATTATTGTAAAGCAAAACTAAATAGACCTCTGGAGAAGTATATCGGACTCATGGGGTTAGGTTGCCTTTGGTTTTGTCTTACTGAGTGCTGGTTTGTGTGGTGAAAGTCTAGCCACTGTAGGGGAAAAATAATTTACTGTGGGTGTGCTACCTCAACAGGACCCTGTTTGCTCAGGAATGAAGAGGTCGCACAGGACCACACACATCAGAGTCCTCAGAACTGACACCTTCGCTGTTTTAAATTAAATTCCATAGCTTTTATAAGAGCAGCATTTCCCCACTTGTCAGGGTTCATGCACAGGACACTGACCTCATGAAATATATAAAACATGAGACTTATAATTGAATATATTTTTCTTGAATGCATATAAAGTTTAAAAATGTAACTTCAGTTTTACGAGAGTACATGTGATAGAAAAATAATTTCAAACCATGGGCCTTTTTTTCCTTAAGAAAATAATTTAGGAGTAGATACATAATGAAGAATGATGAATCAATGAATATCCTCTTCTGGAATATCTAGCTTGCAGTTACAAGTAAGTGTCAGGCATTTCTTGAGAGTGATTAGAAGTTGGAATTTGATCTTAGAATAAATTAAGGTACCTGGCCTGATATAGAAGGAAATGGCTTTGTTGATTGGAAATGACTTTACTGAATTCCAACTAATACACTAATATGAAAATGAAACTCTAATTCATAGTGAGAGAAAGTTAGTGTGAATTATGAGTATACCTTGAAATGTGCCTAAAACTATTGAAGACACTTTAAATTATAAATATGTTGCATGAAATATTAGTGTTATTAATTTGTAGAATATGTTGGGGCCCAAAGAGTAGAATGATTCAAACTGTACCTTCCCAAATGTTAATAAATAATTAGTAGGATGTACATTAATACTGTTTTAGTGTATTAATGTCTTCTGTGGATTCAAGAATAGCTAATAAAACAAAAATGAAGTAAGTCTAATAAAGTTAGCAAAGGAATTAGAAAGAATACATTACCATGTGATTATTCTTCAAAAATTATTTTAATGACTTCTTTTTCTCAATCTAAAGAGAAAATTTCTTGAAAAACTAACTCCTCCAAACCAGTTTTACTAACTAATCCAGCCTAAATGGTTAGTACTCGGTATATTTAACCATAAAGCTACTGCCAACCAGAATCTAGGCTTTATGGTTCAAATTATTGACACTTGCTTAAGTACATAGCATAGTCACATCCGATTTTCAAAAAGCTGAACACACACCAAACTGATTGGATTATACTGATTACATTATTGCTTCAATAATGCACCAAAGTATAGGGTTTGTTTTAGTTTTTAAATGCTTCCCCCGCCCGGACATCTTTAAGATAAAAACTTTTGTAAATTAACATTTCCTGACACTTTTGAGAGAAAGCAGAACGTACTGTCAAAACACTTTATGAAATGCTTCCCTTTAGTCACCATATATACCATATAGTGGTAATAATTCTTTAAATAAGTTCATTGATTTGTGTTTGTGAAAAACACAAATTAAAGTGCATAGGTTTCAATGATGTGTGAGTCTGTCCTTAAGTATCTCCTATTGCTTTAACGGAAAGATGAAGTCTGTGTCTGCTTTGGGTTACCTCTAACTTGCACAGGTACAGCTGTTAGAATAAGCATTAGTGTGTGCTCATTGTGATCTCTCTTTAAATCCAATTACCTTTCTGTAACAGGAAGTTATCAATGCTTTGAAGCAAACTTGGCATGTTTCCTGTTTTGTGTGTGTGGCCTGTGGAAAACCCATTCGTAATAATGTTTTTCACTTGGAGGATGGGGAGCCCTATTGTGAGACTGGTAAGATCAAGAGCTATTAGTTGCTTGAGTTTTGAATAAAAGTAAAACATTAACCCTTATATTACTATGAAGTGAAAAGAAAATACTAAGCTAAGTAGTTTTTCTTATTGTTTTGGAGGAATTTAACATTACCCTAAATATATAGCAAAAAATAAACTACTAAAACTTTTTTTGTGGCTTTGTCAAAATAGACATTACAGACCTCATTATGAGAATTAAGAATGCAAGCAGTAATAGGGCTTGGGATGGAGCTCAGTGATAAAAGCATTTGCTTGGCATGTGTGGAGCCCCAGGTTTAATTCCTAGCACTACAAAAAATAAAAGAAAAGTAAGCAGTACTTAGTAGGAAGAATGTTTTTTGAATCTCTAATAATTTATGGATACACATTCTACCAAATCATGTATCCTAAAGCCACTTAGTGAATTTTGAGTGATTATAAACATGAGAAATGTTTAGCTTTAGAATATGATAAAAATTTTACTGATTTGCTTTTTAAGACAATTGTCTCGGGCTGGGGTTGTGGCTCAGTGGTAGAGTGCTTGCCTAGCACATATGATGCATTGGGTTCAAACCTCAGCAGCACCACATAAAAATGAAATAAAGATATTATGTCCACCTACAACTAAAAAATAAATACTAAAACAAAAGACAACTGTCTTGCAAATAAACCTGAAATCCTGTGTTACTTTTATTGAGTGGTAGGATAATACCTATTTGGGCTGCTCCTTTGCTACAGTTGCTTTAAACTAGGCTCTACGGACCTATCTCCTCCATTTGTCTTATTTTCTGATCTCTAAATGCATTATTTTTCCTTTGCAGTGTCTATAAGTGAACTTTTCTAATACCTATTAATATTGCCCTTGATTAGATATTGCTACCACAGTACATATTAAAAATATGAAATATTTTTCTGAAATCATATCTCCACTCATTGTCATTACATTCCTACTACTGATTTTTTTTTTACTTTTTTTTTAGTTGTACATGGACACAATATTTTTATTTATTTTTATGTGGTGCTAAAAATTGAACCCAGTGCCTCATACATGTAAGGCAAGCACTATACCACTGAGGTACAATTCCAGCCCCCCACTATTAAGTTTTATTTTTATTTTACCTTAAATCTAAAATGTGGTGCTAGAAGGGAATATTCTAGGGCAGTCAGAATTAATAGCACTCTACTTTCCTTGCCCACTCAATGTTCTCTCTCTCTCTCTCTTTTTTTTTTTTTTAACCTTTTCTTTGTCTCCTTAATCAAGAACCACTTGGATCATCCATCAGAAAGCCCTAGAAATTCCAGTAAACTATCCTGTGGGCAGTTTTGGTATAGGTGGGCTACAGGCTGCCGACCCTATCCAACAAGAATATTTCACATTTTGTAATTCCACTTAATTTTCTGTTTTTTATGCTTCTTGTTCAAGTCAGTTGGTATGATTTTCTTAGACACTTTGCAAGACATTCTAACTGACAGATTGTTCTTCTCTAGTCAAAACATATAAACTATCTAACCTTAATGTCATATTTAACATATTCCAAGAAGCAATATTTTAAAAGCCCAAAGAATTGCTTATAGAAATATAAAAATATTATTGAAGGTCTATTTAAATGTTGCTTCAATTTGGTCCATTTTTTGTTCTGTCTTTTTCTTTAACCTCTCAAATTAGTTTTTTTTAATATTTATTTTTATATTTTTATTTCACTTATTTATTTTTATGTGGTGCTGAGGATCGAACCTAGAGTCTTGCACATGCAAGGCGAGTGCTCTACCACTGAGCCACAACTCCAGCCCCTCAAATCAGTTTTTTACATAGTTCCCCATCCCAATAAATGGCCCCATTGTCCACTATCCAAAAACCTAGAGATGACTTTAGATTCTACCCTTTTCCCTATTCTTCCCACATCCAATCTAGTGAGTAAACCTTGGCAGTTCTCCCTCTACCCCCATCACCTAGAAGGATATTGTACTATTTGTTTCTCTCCACCTCAAGTATCACCACTAAACCCAACTTGTTCTTGCCCCTTGTTCAAAACTGTAATCACTAACTAAAGGGTGTATCTCCTCACCCCCAACCCCCAAATAGCAGCTACAGAGAAACCTCAGTAATGTTTTTAAAAATGTAAATCAGATTGCTTAAAACCCTTTAGTGACTTCCATATAAAATTATAATCCTTGCTACAGCCTGCTTTGCCAACCTCATCTACTACCTTATGCTCTCTGTCACTAGATTTGGGCCATACCTGGCCCCTTTGCTATTTCTGAGCATGCTAAGATTCTTCCTGCATCAGAGCTTTTGTACTTACTATTTCTTCTAACTGGAATGTTCTTGTCCAGGTTTTCTGTGGTGATTTTGCCTCAGTCTTCAAGTCTCTTTGAAACTACTATCTCCACTGAAAAGCCTTTCCTAACTTTCCTATGTAATGCAGTACAACCTCTACACTTATTCTGTATCATAACACTATTTTCTTTTCTTGAGGGCACTTATCAATCATGATCTGAAAACACACTGTTATCATTTATCTTTAAAATCCAAAAAATTATAACATGCTGTTCCTCAATGAGAACATAAAAGTCTCATAAGAAGAGCAAGCACATCTGTCTTCTCCACCACTGTACCTCTGCAGTATCGAGAACAATGCCTGGCACACAGTAGGGTGCTGTGGATATGTGTTGAGCATGGTGCCAGAGTATATTAAAGATCACTGAGAAAAGTGAATCAAGCTGCAAGTCTTAGCCTACTGAACCTTCAGCTCAGGTTGGATTGACTAGTGTCAGGGGCCAAAAGGTGAACCATGAGTCAACATAGTGGTGTAAGTCAATGCATAAAAGGAAATAAAAGTGCTGATAACATTCTAATTTGGTAATTGAGAAAGATCTTATCAAAACAGTTTCTTCAGAAAGAAATTCTATCAGTATTCTATAACTAATCTGTGCCAGGTAAATAGTGGGTATCAGGCTATGGTTCTTCTACATGAAGTCATAAAATTGAAAGAAAAATATAATGAAAGAAATTGTGTTCATATTGTGATACAGTCTAGCTAGAAGCTCATTCATGGTCCTTATTCATGGAAGTTTTCTATAACTTAATTTCCTCACCAAGTCAGATACCCTATGAAAATCTGCCAATAGCAGATATTTATTTAAAATTTATGTTAATTAGTCTTACCATTGCTACTTATTAGAGGTCCTCTTGTATTTAAAAAAAAAATTAGGTGTGAACAGACACAATACCTTTATTTTGTTTATTTATTTATTTTTTATGTGGTGCTCAGGATCAAACCCAGGGCTTCACAGCTGCTAAGAAAGCACTCTACCACTGAGCCACAACCCCACCCCCTCTTGTATTTTTTTTTTAAACAGTCAAGTCTACTGATAATTTCTCAGAATAGTATTCTTTTTTTTATGTATTTGGACGTTTAAGTAGCTAGAGAGGATTGAGAAGTATAATGTGGAAAAATATAAGAAAGAATGCTACTCTGTTTACAAGGGAAACCTGAAACGTGTTAAACATGTATCTTAAACCAAATATTATGCCATCTTCTGAAATTTTTCTAATTACTAGTATCTTTAACTTCAAGATCTCATTTAACCTCAATTGTGTTGCTGTTTTCTATGAATTATCAATCTAAAGCTTCATCACGTTTAAATTCTCTCTCCCCCACCCCAAACAGATTATTATGCCCTTTTTGGTACTATATGCCGTGGATGTGAATTTCCCATAGAAGCTGGTGACATGTTCCTGGAAGCTCTGGGCTATACCTGGCATGACACTTGCTTTGTATGCTCAGTAAGTAAACTCTAAGCTCCTAATTAAAGTGGTACAGTACAGCCAGTTCTAGCATAAGCACTTAAAGGAAATAATAGTTCTTGTATCTTTTAGTCCTTCAAACCTAAAGAAAAAAAAATATTTTTTTCAATGATTTTTAAAAGTTGTTTATTAATTAAAATTTGGGGACATCTTGAAATTATTTGGTATATAATAAGCTCTTTACCTTTAAAGAAAATTCTATTTTTAATACATTTTTGCCCATAAGGAGAAGCTATATATTTCTTAAAACAGTAAGGGTCTGTTATTTTTCTTCTGAAACTTCATTTTATTGGATGTTTTTAGTAGGTTTTAGAAACATTAGGTACTTCTTAAAATAGAAATAAACAATTTTTAAAATCTATTATTGAATTAACACTGGGAATAAACTATGTGCTGATTCATTTCCTTCCTTAGCAGTCATCCATGAATGTTCTTTTTGAGACTATATGTTTAATAAAATATTTACTAATTTCATTTGATATTTTAATATTTTTGGTTTCATTTTTAATAATTTGGATAGAGCTCCATCTAAAATACATATTGTTTTGAATGTAGAAAGTAAATGTTCAATAAAGGGTCTCTGTTCCAATGTTTGATTATTTTCTTAGATTTAATATATCTGATAGTGTCTTGATATCCATTGCATGAAGGGGAAAAAAAGTAATGTTGATTAAATTCAGATGATTTCTCCAAACATTGCCTTTGAACTCTTTCTTGTTTACCTCATTCATCTCTTAGACTTCTTGAAGTCTATAAAAAGTAACAATTTCTAGAAGATTTATCTTGTGTTCTCTGGTGGAGCTGCTCATGAGCATTGTAATTAGCCAAGGCAAGAGGAAAAACAAGAAGGCATAAGTGAGAATAACTGATGTTATAATCAGCCAGTGGGCAGATATTGACTAGGATTTTCTAATAAACATTAAATGTATTAACTCTTTCATGAATTTGGGCTGAGAATGTAGTTGTATAGTAGAACCTGCATCTAGCAATGTGTGAGTTCTGGGTTCAATCCCCAGTACTGCAAAAGATTTTTTTAAATTATTTCATGAATTGGTGATTTCATTAAAGAATGAAATTAAAGGAGTGAATTAAAAAGAAATCTCAATTATATGTCTCTCAATGTGTGTTTTGGGAACAGACTCAAGTTGGGCTTGGACATGTTTAGAAAAGCAGTTGACTTGTGTTTTCTGTTTGAATGCTTTAGTTCTCTTTAGCAGGAAGCAGATTTAAAGCATTGATTAGAATTAATCTGGGAGATAAAATATATTTAATGTGACCTTGTTACATATTAATTTTTTCATTAGAACTAAGTACTTCCCACCCAATAAAAAAGTAATGATCAGTGATTTAAATAAATTAGAATATATTCCAAGAAAAAAGTCATTCTTCATTGCCTTTCAAAGATTACATGAAATGTCATAGTAATCATGAAATGTCAGGGTTTCTAACACAACCATCTAAAGTACTTTGTCATATTATCCCATTGGGGGGAAAAGTCACTTTCCCCTTCTCTGGCATGCTTGATTAAAATAATGACAGTCTCTTAACTAATACTTCTTTTTCAGGTCTGTTGTGAAAGTTTGGAAGGTCAGACATTTTTCTCCAAAAAGGACAAGCCACTTTGCAAGAAACATGCACATTCTGTGAATTTTTGAAAGTCAACAGTTCAGGGAAAGAAGAAATCGAAAAGAAAGAAGAAAATTGAAATTACCAATTAATTTTTAGATTCAATATTTATTTGGAGTTTTGAAAAATAATAGTGTCCCTGAAGGGATAAATTTCAGCATTAAAAATATTTGGTTTCATAAGGTAAAGAGACAGTTTGACATTTGTTATTACTTTTTCCTGTATTTTCTGCCCATAAAATAACCTTTATAAAAATCAATTTCCTGGTTGACTATTAAATTTATCTTTGAGTAAATTAGCAAAGAATTAAATTTTAGATTAATAACTCCAATCTCTATGCTGAAATAATTATACTTTTCTTTCCTTGTTAGGTAGTTATGAGTAAATTGTAAAATGCAATGAAAATGCCTAAAAGTTTATTAATGAGAGAATTGTTCTTTTGAAAAATCTACTGTTTATCTTTAAAACAGTGAATGAGAGTTTAAACAGAACTTTTATCAGTAGGAGATGTCAGTTTAAAAAAAAAAAGTGTACTTTTTGTTGTTTGTTTATTCTTAGACAGTTGATCATTCCAGTCAGAAAAGCCAATGATATTTTGGGTCAAAATGTGTCATGCCTTTCTTCTCTTACCCCCCTCCAAAAAGCTGCCATATCTCTTATAAAATCTCAAATTTTGCCTTGTATTAAAATGTGACTATTTCTACTCATTGTGTATGCTTCATCACCTGTATTAGCCAAACCCTGCTGTTTCCCTTCCCTCGTAGTGAGATAAAGAACATAGTTTTCTTTAAAGAGAAAACAGAAAAGACTATGATGAGGAATTATGGCAGCTGAGAGGATCGGACCTAAAAAAGCAAACAAAAAAGCACTACTGCCCCCTTTTCAGAGTTGTACCACTGACTGAAGTTTTGAGAGCTGTCTTTGCAGAAGTTTATGTTTTGTTTTGTTTAATTTTAACTTAGAATTGGCTTGGGATTATAGTAAGCTCTAGATTTTTTTTTTTTTTGTAGTTTTCTCTCGATAATAAGCAAACCACTTCAAATGTGATCACAAAACGTGGAAAGCTTTTATTCACAGAGATTTGGTAGTATAGGAGAGGGAGGTGATTAATTACTCAGATTGACCTATTGTTTGTTTTCCTCATTTGTGCAAAGAATCCTGTAGATACCACATGGAAACACAGAAACAATTGTAAAACTGTGGATCCTGTTGATATTTGCCCAGTGAGAAAACAGATTATGGCATTTGATAGTTTTTCTCTTTGTTTCTAGAATGGATGAAAGCCTATGAACCCACTGAGTTATAATTTAAATCTGTGTGAGGCAAGGTGCTTTTAAAGTCCAGACAGAGTCCCCAAGCCCTTCCTGCCCCATCACTCACTAATGACTTCAATTCCATTGTGTGTATGTTTGTTATAGAGGAGGTTTTAGGCTACCCTATTTGTTTAACCTCCCTAAGAACTTTCAAGGCATCTGTCCTGAAAGCTGCTAATATATGGTCTAGCGGATTTATATTATATGCAGATAATAATTAACTGGGGATAAAAGAATAGGAGGGGGTGACACAAAGTGGCAAGCTGAATAGTTCCCCAGTAGCAACTCCAAACTACCTCCTCACCCTGCATCTTGTAGGGAAGGGGAAGCTTCTTTTGAGATGAAGTGCTGGAGCTGAATTGTGCATTAGATCTCATTGCTGCTGAAGTTGCCTATGGGCGACTTGCTGGCTAATGTGCATCCTTACATATCTTAATGTCAGTCTTTGCTTTATACAATACAAAGTTGGTTGTTTTGTTTGGTATAATGGAGTATTTTGTTGTTTAGTTTTGCCTTTATAGATTGTATGCCAAGATAGTATTTTATAAGTGAAAGGCATTGGGGTTTTTTCTTTAAAGAATTTTATTTGACCTGGATTTCTTATAAAGCTGTCTTTCTCTAAGGGTATCATTAGACCTTTCTACATATATTCTTTATGGAGCATAATGTTGCATGTCTCCAAATTTTAATGCCTAAAAAGATAGTTGCTTTCTTTCTTTCTTTCTTTCTTTTTTTTTTTTTTTTCGTGCTCTGTCTCTGGTGTTACAGAGCTTTTTATATGTTCCTAAGACAGTTAATCCTGTGAAATAAATATTGCCCAGAACCCAGAAGAATCTCTGTGTTTTACAGTGGGGAATGCCATGTTTAATTCACCAGCATTAATTTTCTAATAACTGGCTGAGCACTTTATTCTTCTGGTGAGCTTCCTGAATATTTATTTTTCTGATTATAAATATTCTGTGTCAGTAGCATTTTTATTATTACTTCTTCACTATAGAGCATTGACTTTTCATCTCCCTAGATGTATATTTTGAAATGATATACTTGGTAAAACACAGATGAAAATCATATAGTACATGACTCTAAAAACTCCTCTACTTGAATCTCCCACTTTAAAATTTTTAGTAATGGCTTAAGATTCATAATATTTCTCTAAACTTGCAAGGGATAAATATTGCCCGCTGAAATAGCAATCTAAAAATGATCCCCTCTGCTTTAGGTTATAGTAACATATGTATTTCCTATTAAGGTTACATTTAGAGTTTTGGTTTTTGTTTGTTTGTTTTTCATGTTGTGCTAGGTATCGAACCTAGAGCCTCACACATGCTAAGTCAGCACTCTGCCTCTGAGATACATCCCCAGCTCTTTTTGTTTTTATTCTGAGACAGGGTTCTCATTCAGGCTGTCTTAAACTTGAGGTCTTCCTGCCTCGGCCTCCCAAGTAGTTGGGATTACAGGTGTGTACAATATTTAGAGTTTAGAACTAAAACCTATTCATTTGGTCAAGAGTGTTAAAACAAATAGAACTAACAGTTTAAATCTGCAAAATACTAGTGTAGCCTTATGTTTAAAATTATCCACAACAAAAATATATGATTTTTAAGGAGTAGTATATTAGAAGCACTTTCATAGGAAATAATTTCTTCCTTCCCCTTGTTGAGTGTGAATCCAAAAACATATTGATAATTTGTGGCATTTGGAGTTTAGTCAGCCCCATTGAAGGGAAGAGGAAACATACTGAGTAGTTTTACACAAATCTAACCTGGCTTCAATTTGTCTCCCTCACCCCTAAATGTTGAAAGATGTCTGATTTGAATTCTTTATGTATTAATTATCTATTAATCTCCATCTTCTGTTTCTTTAAGTTTTAAAGTTTGTATATACGTGCTCTTTTGCTTTTGGATACATTTTCTAATTAAAAAATCACATGAGAAATATAATCAGTATAGTAATACTTTAATGTGCACATATTCAATAAATAAATGCCTTCAACAGTATACACAAGCTCTCCTTGTTGTTTTTGCATAGTAAGAGATTCCATTAAGTAATCATGGGGAAAAAAATCATGTTCCATATGCACAGGATAGGATGAAATGTAATAATTACCTTAAGAATAAAAGAAGAATTGGATATTTTGGATATCCAAATTGATTGCATATTTTGCCAATCAAAGTATTCCAGAAACAGAACATTTAAAAATACTGTCACATTTATTCTGTTTTTTTATCCATTTTTATAGTTTTCATGTAGAACGTACACAATAAATGTTTGTAAATTTGTAGATAAGTCTGTCTTTAAAAAAATGTTTATTACTGGGTTGAGAGTGTGGCTGGGTCACTGGTAGCATGCTTGCCTGGCATGCATAAGACCCTATGTTGAATCCCAGCACCATAAATAAATTTAAAAATTTTAATGTTTATAGCTGAAATTTTTTAATGGAATAACTTAACATATTAAACATTATATTGTTATCATAGATTGTAATCAAACAACATAAATTCTCATCTACATTTTCACATTTTGTATTAGCCAGGGCTCATTACTTCGTGTGTCACATCTAGATCTCATTAGCTAACTGTGCATTAGTAGGCAGGCTCACCTCGTCCTCGTTTGTTTATTGGCTTGAGTAAGATTTTTTTGCCAACTGTATAAAGTTAAGAGGAATGTTTCTGTTGCAAGCTGTGTATTGGAAATAAGAGAGAAATTCAAGTCTATTTGCTCACAGTATATTAAACTCCAGAAGCCAAACTTTTAAGGGCATCAAGTCTGCATCTGACATTTTAATAGCTGCTGTTTGGTTTCTATCAATCACGTCATTGCACATTAAAATGCACCAACAAAATAAGAGATCTGTCATTCCTTCGTTAAGGAACAGTAATCCAGTACAAGATTTATAGGCTTACGACTCAACTGTGTGTTCACAATAAATCCCCATTCAGTGTTCAAACTAGAGCAAGCCTCCCTGTTCAATGTTTTCTAGTCAAAATGTCCTCAATATAAGATTATCAAAGGTTTTCTTACAGAACTACATATAAAATCTTTTTGCCAGCAAAAGCTTAATTTAGGTTGGCGGCTTCCCTTTTTGAGTACCTAGACAAGATCTTGGTTATATCAGAAACACATAGGTACTGCTGTATTATTAGCAGGCCTGGTGTTAATTAGGGAGAATTACCAGAAATAGTTTGCCTCGTGGAAATTTATTACAGAATCACACTTGACTGATGGCAGAATAGGAGTTGCTGAGAGAGAGCAGCTCCCACTCATAACCACTAATTAATAGGGTGCCAAAATTCCGCAGAGAAGGTTTCATCCCAAGTGTGGGAGCCTCACAGGGAAAATGGTTCTTGTGCAGTATTTAAAAATTAACAGAGGAAAGTAGCTGGACACATGGCTACCTAACAGAACAGAAGTCTCAGACTGATGGGGTCTTAGGCTGTATGAATGAGAAGATTTAACTCAGCACCAAGCCCAAAAGTTACCTGTGTGTTTGTCATGCTAAGGACATATGCTTATTATGTTTAATGTGAAGCATCTGATTCCCAAACTTCATTTTATGAAGAGAATTTAGAACAATCATTTTATCTGGTCTGATAGTACTCTTGATTCCATCACTTGGAAGCCAAGTCGGTGGCAAGATCACATCAATGATTAACAAGAAAGGTGTGGCCTCTGCACCTTGAACATGGAGTTGGGGAAAGTGAGGTGCACTTAGTGAATGGCACTAATGGCAGAGCACTGGAGAGTCCTACTGGATGAAAGCTTGCCAAGAAGGAAGTTTCTTGTTTTTTTTTTT